GGTAGGGGAAGAGGCGGTAGTAGGGTACCGACTCGTCGAACGTGACATCCTGGGAGGACAGAACACGGCGAGAGGTGGGGTGGTAGAACTGCCACCCAGGGGCGTCGGGGGGGAACCCCAGGAAGACGCAGGGAGCAGCGCGAGGGGACAGCTTGTCCGCAGACAAGTCGCGGACAAACGCTCGACATCCCCAAACCCTGAACGCCGACGCATCGCCAACCTTCCCCGTCCACAGCAGGGCTGGGGAGGTCTCCGGCCTGGAGACCCTGGGGTGGAGGTTGATCTGATGCGCCGCGTACCTGACCGCAAACGGCCACAGAAAATGGGGGGCAGCAGCATGCATCATGGATGTACGAGCGACGTCCATGACCATGCCAATGCGGCGCTCTGCAATCCCATTTTGCTGCGGTGAGTCCGGAAGCGTGAAGGTCTGACGGATGCCTCGCGCACGACAGTAGGCACGCAGAAGGCAAGAGGAGAACTCTCCGCCCCTGTCCGAGTGCAGACGCAACACAGGAAAGTCCAAGCCAAAGCTCTGCCTGAGCTGGAGACGAGCTGCGCGGATCCAGTCGATCAGCACCTCAGTGACATCACCCTTGCTGCGCAAGGGGAAGACTGTGGTGTAACGCGAGTAGTCGTCAACCACCAACAGGAAGTAGCGCTCGTGACCGAGTCCACGGACGCGGGCAGGGCCCCACACGTCCATGTGAAGCGTCTGCAACGGAGCCTCTGTCGGAGGAAACTGGGAGGAGTGAGGGGCAGCACGCTGGCGCCCCTCGACACAGAGGACACAGGCAGGGCCATGGCCTTGAGGAAGGGGAGGGAGGGACCGGGGAAGACCAGACACAAGAAGACGGGAGGCCATGCCTCTGAGCCGAAGCAGAGAGGGGTGACCCTGGCGGTGGTGCCAGAGGAGAGTCTCGTGAGACAGGCGACGACACGAACAGGGGGCAGACTCAGGACCAGACCTGGACGCTGCAGCAAACACCTGACCTGACGAGGGGACCCTACCAGACTTAGGAACTGGAGGAGAAGCAGTGGTCAGTGTGTACAGGCTCGACCCTGGCTAACGTGTAAACGTAGCCAGGTGACGACCTGTGCTAGCCTCTGTGCAGTGCGTCACTCGCTGGCGAGCAGGGGTGAACTGGTGGACTCCCGCATCCTGTAGGTCAGCACCACTCACCAAGTTCGTAGAGAACGAGGGAAGGTAGAGACCAGACAGGGTGCCAGAGGGAGCCGCCGGACACGGGAGGACTGTGGAGAAGCGAGAGAGAACAGGACCCCCAGAGGGGTCAGCCAGGGACACCGCAACCGGCCGACTAAGCGGCGTGAGGGTGGTGCGGTCCCGAAAGAAGGAGCGAGACGCTCCAGAGTCAAGGGTGAAGGTGTGGGAGGCCGAAGCCGAAGCAGTACCTGAGAGCGCAGACTCACTAGTACCTGAGAGAGCAGCCTCACCAGTACCTGAGAGCACAGACGCACTGGCACCTAGAGCAGCAGTACCAATGCCCGGGTCGGGCGGGAAACACCGGTAACAGTCACCCTCATCACTCATGGTCACAGCATACATGGCAGCAAGGATAGCATCAAAGTCAAGATCAAAGATAGCTACACCAGCCCTAGACACCTCTCCCCAGCGGGGGATCTCCGCGGCCTCCGGGAACTGCTGGCGCCAAGCCTCCGTCAAGCGACCAAAGCAGCGCTGGGCGGTGTGGGTACCCCCACACTGCTCTCCAGCGCGGTCGCCAGTGCGAAGAACGTAGGTGCAGGGACCAAAACCCCCACCACGCTGACGTTGCGTGTACCACTCACGGAGCTGCTGAGGGGTGGGGATGTCGCGAGAACGCTGCTGCTGCTGCTGCTGCTGCTGGCGCTGACCACCCCCAGTGCCACTCCGACCACCTCCACCACCGCCACCCCCGCCTCCGCCTCCACCGCCCCCGCCTCCGCCTCCACCGCCGCCGCCTCCGCCACCTCCTCTCCCACCACCACCGCCGCCGCTACCCCCGCCTCCACTGCCGCCACTAGCATCCCCACCCCCGCCACCCCCTCCACCACCACCCCCACTCCCTCCGCTGCCTCCACCTCCACCTCCACCGCCCCCGCTGGCCCCACCCGCTCCCTTGCCCCCCTTTCCCTTGCCAGAGCGGCGTCTCCCGCTAGGGGCAGACGCCGCACCGACCGACTCAAGACCAACGAGGTCGGCCGCAGCGGCAGAGGCAACAGAGGGCAGGAGAGGGGAAGGAGAACACCCCTCAAAGATGGGGGCGCGGGGGTCACCTCGAGAGGCTCCTACAGCGACTATGCTCTTCTCCGCCGCTAGGAGGGCCTTCTCGAGGCTGTCGACTGTGAGGGTGGTGGGACAGACCGCGAGGAAGTGGTCCCGGACTACACGAAGGGAGTCAGGGAGGCGAGTGACTAAAAAGTAGAGAGTGATGTACATGGGGGGGGGTTCTTGGCGCAGAAGTCAGCAGGAAGCGCAGCGCGGTAGCGAGTGTCACTAGTGCGGAGGTGCGTAATGAGATCAGCGACAGTGGGAAAGGCGGCAAGGTCAGGGAAGAGGAAGGGGAGCATGAGGCGGCTCAGTGCAGCAGTGGCAGGGGAGGAGTAGCGCGCAACAACAGCGTGGTACAAGGTCTGGGCACTCTTGTACTGGCTAAAGTGCGCGCGCTCAGCGGTAGGCAGGTGGCGACGCACAGCAAGACGTGCAGCAGCATCGTGCGTGGCCCACTGTGAGCGAACAGTGGCGTCACCATCAGCAGCAGGGGCAGGGACGGTGCCAGAGGTGAGGTCAAAGAGAGAAAGACCGTCTGCCCTATCGCACTGTAAGAACAGCTGCAGGTCGTCGACCCAGACCTCAAAGTCAATGGCGCGACCCTCAGCGTCAAAAGCTAGGACACTAGGGGTAGCCATGACGACAGACTAGCAGTGCAAGCAGTGCGGGAAGGGGTACGCAGTAGCAGTGGAGCTGTGCTCACCAGACAGGACGGGTCGGGCAGCTCAGCAGCACAGCAACACGGCAACACAGCAGCTCTGCCGGCCCAGTAGCAACAGCAGCCCCTCAGGACCAGCAGCTCGGCTCCTCAGGCGGCTCGGGCAGCTCGGGCGGCTCGGGCGGCTCGGGCGGCTCGGGCGGCTCGGGCGCTCGGCGGTACAGGCGGCTCGGGCGCTCGGCGGTACAGGCGGCTCGGGCGGCTCGGGCGGCAAAGGTGGCTCGGGCAGCTCGGCTCCTCAGCTGCGTAGGCGGCTCGGGCGGCTCGGGTGACGCGGGTGGCACGGGCGGCTCGGGCGTCGAAGGGCCAGGACAGCGTGGCGCGAGGGCGGCTGGGAGCGGTTCACGGGTGGCTCGGGGCCGGGACGGACGGCTCACGGGCGGCTCACGGGCGGCTCACGGGCGGCTGACGGGTGGCTCACGGGCGGCTCACGGGCGGCTCACGGGCGGCTCACGGGCGGCTCACGGGCGGCTCACGGGCGGCGCTTCGGGCTGCTACGGGCGGCGCACGGGCGGCACGTGGGCGGTTAAGGGCGGCGCGCGGGCGGAGCGTGGGCGGCCTGAGGCCTGGCGGGCAGCGCGCGGGCGGCTAAGGGCGGCGCGCAGACGGCGCGTGGGCGGCCTAGGGCCGGGCGAGCGGCGCGCCGGCTACTTAGGGCGGCGCGCGGGCTGCTTAGGGCGGCGCGCGGGCTGCTAAGGGCGGCGCGCGGGCTGCTAAGGGCGGCGCGCGGGCTGCACGGGGCCGGGACGGGCGGCGCGCTAGCGTCTAGGGCGGCGCGCTGGCGGCGTGAGGCCTGAACGGGCGGCGCGCGGGCGGCTAAGGGCCGGTCGACAGAGGTAAGAGAGAGAGCCCGGAGCGCGCTCCGGATAAAAAAAAAAAAAAAAAAAAAAAAGTTCGAAGTAGTGGTGGGCCCTAAGCACAGTTCCCACAGGGGAACCTGCTCGATACCATGAGAAGAATAGAACGAGAATGAAATGACTATGAACGAAGTGAGTACAAATAGGAAACCCTAATTGGGTTGTACCCCCTATGGGATACCCCACTATAGCCTACACAAATAAGTAAACTATAATGTTCTGACAGATGGGGAAGAAAAACGTAGAGAAAACTGGAAAGTCAGAGGAGTGAGAGAAAGAGAGAGAGAGAGAGAGAGAGATAAAACGGACGCGGGCAAAGAAGGTAGAGGGAATGCAAGAAAGTACATCAACAAAATCTAGCAGAAACACTACTTACTAAACGAAAGGAAACAAGAATGAGAAGAAGAAGAATACTGCAAAGAATAAAACATACCTTGTATGCACTATACTGTACTTGCAATCACACGACTTCCACACAATATCTTGTAAATGAACTGACGGAAACAAGGTGGGATTCAGGTATGGAGAGGAGGGAGGGGGGGAAAAGAGGGGGACAAATACGAAAGGAAATAAAAGCAATGACATAGTTAAAGATAACGAACGGACAGAAAAGAGAAGGACTTAAGCGACGACACCACGTCTGATAGGATGATATGACGGTTCTAATCCAGAGAAGAGAACAAAAAAAGTGAGCGAAAATACGCAGATACGAGGTAGTAAGAGGACAACAGACGAAAGGAAGTAAGGATGAAGAACACAAGGAACGGATGCAGGATTAAGCAGGAAAAACGAAGAACAGGACCTAAATAATACGAAGTGTTTATAACCTAAGCTTCAACGACTTGCTTGCATCGATTTAAACGGTTAGAATACGAGATAACGGAATGTTGGTCTAACTAATAGCCATCCAAAACAGTTCTGGTAGATACTTTACGTGTCGTTTCACCTTAAGACTGGTTGGAGGATGCGTGACTGGCGGGAGAACGTCAAGAACCTAGCACAGCAAGGAGAGAGCCGGGAAAAAAGGAAACACAAACCCTAGGTTAGCAAGTATTTCATCGCAGTCGAAAGCGACGAAATATATTCGGGGCTACTGCATAGAAGGAGTAGCGCAGTCGGTCGAAAGGCAAATTGGAATCGAGAGGTCACATGTATGAGAGAACAGCAAAACTGTTTTCGCAATCCTCAACTAAATTCCGTGAGATTCGTACTCTGTACAAAAAGGACCTATATAATACAGTAAAAAGGAACTTCAAAACAAGATCCATACTTAGTATAACTAGTTGTACATGTTAGAATCCCTCTTCTCTTGTAACCTGCATATATGCTATAGGTTAGGCTAGAGTTAAGCACCCAAACTTAGTTTGGATGTACAAACAGGGGTAACCCAGTTTGTAGGTTGGAACCCAACCTTGGTCCAATTATTGGACCCCAAAAGATTGGGTTGGGTAGAATTATTGGCCCCCTCCAATAATGTTGGCCCAACCCCAACTTGGCCAACATTATTGGACCCCACCAATAATCTCCCAACCCAACCTCTTGGTTAGGGTCCAATAATGGCACCTTAGGCTAGCATCCAACCCCATTACTATGTATACCCCCCTGTTTCTCTATCATATCATCAACTACATTTCAACCTCTCTTCTCACATGGTATAGAGCTGTCATTCCTAGGCCTACTCCTCTCTCAAACAAAAAGCCCACCCGGCCGCCACAACCCCCGGCCTCCTCCCTCATTTTTTTTCCCCCTCTCAGCCATCCCGCCGCCTTCCTCCCCCCCGTAGCGCCCTTTTTCCTCCGCAGCTCCACGGCCTCCCAAGCCGCTGCAGCCCGCGCCACTCTCTTCCGCGGCCTCGACGCCGCCTCCGCGCCAGCACCGCCGCGGCCTCACCAGCCGCTGCCGCCCGCGCTCTTCCCCTCCGCGGCCTCGACGCCGCCTCCGCGCCTCCCCGCGGCCTCACCAGCCGCCGCCCGCGCCACTCCGCGGCCTCGACGCCGCCTCCGCGCCAGCGCCGCCGCGGCCTCGCCAGCCGCCGCCCGCGCCACTCCGCGGCCTCGCCGCCGCCTCCGCGCCAGCGCCGCCGCGGCCTCGCCAGTCGCCGCAACCCGCGCCCTTCCCCTCCGCGGCCTCGACGCCGCCTCCGCGCCAGCGCCGCCGCGGCCTCGCCAGCCGCCGCCGCCCGCGCCCTTCCCCTCCGCGGCCTCGCCGCCGCCTCCACGCCTCGCCGCGGCCTCGCCAGCTGCCGCCCGCGCCACTCCGCGGCCTCGACGCCGCCTCCGCGCCAGCACCGCCGCGGCCTCACCAGCCGTCGCTGCCAGCGCCCTCCCCCTCCGCGGCCTCGACGCCGCCTCCGCGCCAGCGCCCTGCGGCCTCAACAGCCGCTGCCGCCCGCGCCCTTCCCCTACGCGGACTCGTCGCCACCTCTCCTCACGCCCCTCCGGGACCACTGCGGGTCCACCCGCGGCCGTCCATCATGGCTCACGCCACACCCTCCCCCTTCCCTCCTCCTATTGATACCTCCTCTATCGATAAGCTGCAGCTCGCCGCGGACAAATCCGCCGTCAACTGGCACTCCTTCATCGGCAGCATTCGTCGAGTTCTCTCCGATGCATGGGTTCCCCCCTACCGCGTCCTTGACGTCATCCTCCGCCGTCCCCATGCTCTCCCCCCCACCGCTCCTGACCACCCCGGCGAGACCCCTCCTCTCCCTCCCTCTCCTGGCGATCCTCCTCGTGAACCCGACCTCCAACTCACCGTCGACCAAGCCACCGCTGATGCAGACTTCATCTTACGACGCGGTGCATACCTTATCCGCAAAGCTGAGTACGATGCAGCAGTTGAAGCCTATGACCAGGCGGTTGCTGGCCGCAATGCTCATCTTGCCGTCGTCGCCAAATACCACGACGACCTGGCTACCTTTACCCCAAACCTCATCGCCTGGACAGCTGCTGACACCCGCGCCTGCACCGTTCTCCTCGGTGCTCTCCCTGACTCCCTTATGCGCCGCTTCCAGGCTCGAGAACTCCGTGCCTCGGTCATTTGGGCAGAACTCCATGCCATGTTCGAACGCCGCGACATCGGCTCGGTTGGCATCCTCTTTCAAGAGTACTTTTCAATCACCCTCGCTACATGTGACGGAGCGGTTGACTATGTCGGACGTATGCGAGAAGTAGCTGATCGCCTCGAAGCCCGCCAGGCTGGCCTCTCCGAACCCCTCCAAATCCATCGCCTCCTGTTTAACCTCACCCCAGACTATGAATCACGCCTTCACGCCTTTACCGAAGCCAATCCCATGGCCGATCTCGCCTCCGTTGAGCAGTGGATCATAGACACCGAAGTCAAACTTCGCACCCCCATTGTCAACCTCGCCTCCTCCCAACCCTCCTCCTCCTCCCTCAACGCTACCCAGCCCCGCAAGCAGGCTCGGAACAACGGCAAAGGGGGAGGTGGGGGCAAGGGAGGTGGCGGTCAGGGCAACGGCAGCACAAACAGCCGTGGCGGCGCCACTGGGGATGAGCATGGCACCACTAATTCGGGCGGAGCCTCTGCAGGCCGCGGAAGTCGTCCTGGCACTCTTCCGCCCTGCACCTATGTCCGTCGCTATGGTCCCCGGGCTGGAACACCCTGCGGGCAGACAAACCATCCCCCTAGCACTTGCTTCAAGGCTCTCGATGATGCCTGGTACGCGCGGGGCAATGTTGGCACTCCTCCCAAGTGGGGAACGATCTCCCCACGTCCCTCCCTTGCCGACATCCAAACCAACCCCGCTTACCTCCCTGCCCACCTCCACCTCCTTGCTCCCCCCACACCGCTCCTCAATCTCCAACAGCAGCACATCCTGCAGCAGCACCAGCAGCAGCAGCAACAGCAGCAGCAGCAGCTGTTTCATCAGCAGCCACAGCAGCAGTAGCAGTCGCAGCCCCAGCCGCACCCATGGGGAACTGGACTCCTACCCCAGTGGGGACCGAGCCCTCCTCCTTGGCAGCAGCAGCAGCTGAATTTTGGCACAGCTGCCATAGCCGCTCAAGCCTCCCCGTCCCCCCTTTGGGGTGCTCCACCACCTAGTAGCACTGCCCCTCCTCTTACCCAGGAGAGCTTTCTTGGCAACATTGCTATCTCACCCTCACTATCTTCCATGTACCCATCCACCGTTAATGAAACTACTTTCCAGTACTCCGTCTCTTCCTCCTCCTCACCCACTCTCGACTTTGTCCTCGATAGTGGGGCCACTGAGACCGCTCTCAAGGATGCTGGTACACTCACACCCCTCTCTCCTCCCACGCAAGTTCACGGCGCTGACAGCAGCTTTACCATCCCATGCACACACCTCTCCACTCTCCCCTGCACACTCTTCCCCTCTGGTAAGGTAACTGGTCTCCACATCCCCACCCTCCGAAACAACCTCCTCTCCCACCGTGAAATCCAAACTGCAGGTATCACTGCCGTCTATCCAGATAATGCCACCTACTGTGACCTCTACCACACCGCCACTGGTCGCTTCCTTCTACGCATTCCCCTCTGCCCCCGCACTCGCCTCTACACTCTCCGCACCCCTTGGCCATCCTTCTGCCATGCTACCACTCGTGCTGGCACTTCCACTAACCCTCCCCATCCCCCTACCTCACCTCCACGCCACCAGCAGGGGCCGCAGCAGCAGCAGCAGCAAGGGCCACAGCAGCAGCAGCAGCAGCCGCCACAGCAGGGGCAGCCACAGCAGCAGCAGCAGCAGCCGCCTCAGAGGCAGCAGCAGGGGCCGCAGCAGCAGCAGCAGCAACAGCAGCCACCGCAGCAGGGGCCGCAGCAACAGCAGCAGCAGCCGCCGCCGCAGAGGCAGCAACAGGGGCCGCAGCAGCAGCAGCAGCGGCAGCCGCAACAGCAGCAGCAGCAGTCACCTCCCCCTCTCTCACTCACTCCAACCCCCTCCACCTCCGAACATCTCTCCCACCCCGCTGTGCTGCTCCACCACCGTCTCGGCCACCCCAATTTCGCTGCTCTCCGCACTGCCGTCACCTCTCGCCTCCTTCACGGCCTCCCCCCTACTCTCCCCCCCCTCCCTTCCTCTCCAGCCCCTCCATGCCCCTCGTGCATCCACGGCAAACTCAAACAGTCCCCCCACCACAGCCACCCATCATTTACTCCCGCTCCAATTGACCTCGTCCATATGGACCTCTGGGGACCCTCCCCCACTCGTTCTCGTCAGGGCCATCGCTACATGCTGGTCCTCGTAGACGACCACAGCCGCTACTCCTCCATTTTCCTCCTCCACACGAAAGACCAGGCGCCGACCATGATCGTCAACTGGGCCGAGCAATGCCGCGCCCACTTCAAGCGTCCCATCGGCCGCCTACACTCTGACGGGGGAGGCGAATTCCTCAATCGCACTCTCTCCCATTACTGTACCACCCATGGCATCCAACAGACTCACACCCTCCCCCACTCACCGCAGCAGAATGGCGTCGCAGAAAGCCGGATTCGCGAAATCACCAAGATCGCCCGCTGTCTCCTCGCTCACGCCTCAACCCCCCCTTCCCTCTGGGGCTATGCTTTGCTCCATGCTGCCCTCCTCCTCAACCTTCACTCCCATCCCCAACATACCACCACCACCCCCACGGAGCTTTGGTCGGGCACCAAACCTGACGCCGCTGGTCTCCGTGTCTGGGGTTGCAAGGCATATGTCCTTATCCCTCCACCCGATCGCACCCACGACAAGCTCGCTTCTCGTGCCCTCGAGTGTGTCTACCTCGGACACAACCGCGACTCGCCTGGCTACCTCTTCCTTCACCCTCCCTCTGGACGCCTTATCCGCAGCATTGACGTCGTCTTTGACGAAACCACCCCCTATTACTCCTCTTCACCGCTAGACCCCCTCCCTCCTCCTTCACGCCCTCTCACCTGGACCGACACTGTGCTCCCTCCCCTCCTCCCTCCTGCACCCTTTCTCCCACCTCTCCCTACTACGCTTCCGCCACCCTCATCTGCCGACATCTACGATCCCACTGCTCCCGCATCCCCTGCACACTCCGCAGCCCCCCCTCCCTCCTCTCCCCCCCCCTCTCCTTCTCCTCCGTCCCAGCAGCAGGGGCAGCAGCCGCAGCAGCAGCAGCAGCAGCAGCAGCAGCAGCATGGGCAGCAGCAGCCGCAGCAGCAGCAGCAGCAGCAACAGCAGGGGCAGCAGCAGCAGCAGCAGCAGCAGCAGCAGCAGCAGCAGCATTGGGAGGAGCAGCAGCCGCAGCAGCAGCAGGGGTTCCAGCAGCACCAGCAGCAGCAACGGCAGAGGGCAATTGCCCGCTCCTCACCCTTCCTCCTCCCTCGCATGCACACCCGCTCCCTCGATCCCATCCTTGGCACACCGCCGCCTCCCTCCCTCAACCAGCTCCAGGATTCCCATGAGGAGTTCACCATGGTCCAGCGCCACACTCCCTCTCTCACCACGCTCTACCTGGCCTCCTCAGCGCTCTAATCCTTAGCGCGATCTCCGCTCCCACCATCTTCGTCCCCTCCACCTTCCACGAGGCTATCACCTGCCCTGACGCTGACAAGTGGATAGCCGCCATCTTCCTGGAATGTGAGGCATTTATCCGCAACGACTCCTTCATTGACGTTCCCCTCCCCCCTGACGCCAACCTGGTCGAGGGCAAGTGGATCTTTCGAGTCAAGCAGTTGCCGGGAGAAGAACCGGTCTACAAAGCCCGCTACGTTGCCAAGGGGTTCACTCAGACCTGGGCTGAAGAATTCTGGTTCACATTTGCCCCCACTGTCAAGCAGGCCACCCTACACACCCTCATGGATATTGGTGCGCGTGACGACATGGAGATTGACTCCATGGACGTCTCCAACGCGTTCCTGCAAGGCGAACTGCACGAGCGCATCTTCCTCCGTCGGCCTCCCGGGTTTCATGCTGCTTTCCCTGACAACACCGTCTGGCAACTTCGGCGACCTGTTTATGGCCTGAAGCAGGCACCACGCGAATGGCATGCGAAGCTGTCTACCACTCTCCAGTCCCTTGGTTTCTCCGCCTCCCACTCCGATGCCAGCCTCTTCATCCGCTCTTCCCCTCGTCGCTTCTTCATATCCGTCTACGTTGACGACATGATCCTGCTCGCTGACACCAAGGCCGACATGGAGCAAGTCAAGCGGTCACTTCAGGAACGTCTCAAGTGCAAGGACCTTGGTCCGCTGCAGAACTACCTCGGCATGGCTATCACTCGTGATCGATCCGCCCGCACCATCACCCTCTCCCAGTCCCACTACATCAGCCAGGTCCTGGAGAAGTTCGAGATGGCGCAGGCCAAACCGGTCTCCACCCCCCTCCCCTTCGGTCACCAACTCGCGCCACCCACCTCCCCCTCCCCCTCCTCCCGGCCCTATGTCGAGCTTGTTGGGTCGCTGATGTACGTGATGATGTGCACTCGTCCCGACCTCGCCTACCCCATCAGCGTCCTTGCTCGGTTCGTCGGCTCCGGCCGCCACACTGAAGAGCACTGGGCTGCCGCCAAGCGGGTCCTCCGCTATCTCCGTGGCACCAAGGATCACGCCCTCACCCTCGGTGGATCCTCCCCTCCCCTTCTCTCTGGTTTCAGCGACTCATCTTGGGCGGACTCCCAGCCGGACCGCCGCTCCTCGCAAGGCTATGGCTTCACACTCGGCAGCGGGCTTATCAGCTGGCGTTCTACTCGCTCCTCTGCCATTGCCCTCTCCTCCTGCGAAGCTGAACTCTATGCTGGCACCATGGCCGCGCAAGAGTCCCGCTGGCTCTGCTTCCTTCTGGCAGAGCTTGGAGCACCCCAGCGCTGTCCTACGCTCTGGTGCGACAACGCTAGCACCATCCATCTCACCCAGGACCCCGTCTTCCATGGTCGCTCCAAGCACATTGAGCTCCGCTATTTCTTCATCCGCGACCTTGTCCACCGGAACCTCATTGCCGTTCGCAAGATCGCTGCTGCAGCCAAATTGGCTGATATCTTTACCAAAGCCCTTCTTCGCCCTGCGCACTCTGCTCTTCTCTGCCTCATCGGCCTCGCTCCCCCAGGCGCGCCTTGATTCAGGGGTTGCTTCCCTCAAGCCTTTCCGCATCTCTGCCGGTTAAGGGGTTATGTTAGAATCCCTCTTCTCTTGTAACCTGCATATATGCTATAGGTTAGGCTAGAGTTAAGCACCCAAACTTAGTTTGGGTGTACAAACAGGGGTAACCCAGTTTGTAGGTTGGAACCCAACCTTGGTCCAATTATTGGACCCCAAAAGATTGGGTTGGGCAGAATTATTGGCCCCCTCCAATAATGTTGGCCCAACCCCAACTTGGCCAACATTATTGGACCCCACCAATAATCTCCCAACCCAACCTCTTGGTTAGGGTCCAATAATGGCACCTTAGGCTAGCATCCAACCCCATTACTATGTATACCCCACTGTTTCGCTATCATATCAACTACATTTCAACCTCTCTTCTCATAGTACAAAATGTCATATTTGTGCAAAACGCTTCGCAACCCTAAGACGATTTCGTCGCCTCTTTTTTTTTTCGTGCGGTTTTCGTGCTATTTCAGTTTTAGATATGGGGCGTGAAGTCGAATACCTCATGAAACCGTGGGCAGATGGGGAAGCAGTACGCATTCCACTGCCTGCACGAGTGAAGCAAATTGCAAATAGGCCGACAGGTTTTCGCAGGGGCACCATGACGCGAGGGAACGGATTTCGCGAACGCGGGAAATTGACCTGGAGAAATCGGTAGGGGTCCTACACTTGCTGCGACGCCGAGTAACTAGTCGGGTGAGTGCTGCGTCAGCCTGGCCCAGCCCTGGTCGTCGGGTTGGTCAGGTGGTCCCAGCAAAGGGCGTCAGCTGGGCCCGGGATGCGTCAGCTTTCGGCCGTGTCAGATTTATATGACATAGCTGTTGTAGGCTATAGTGGGGT